TTTCCTTTCCTCGTGGTAGCAACTTAGCCTTTTATTGTATTTATCTTGAAAACCAAAAAAAGAAAAGAAAAGAAAAATATTCTCTGCTTGTTCATTGTACAGTGTTGTTCATTTGAAGTCATTTTTGTAACTGGAAGTGTTTCATTCATCCAAATAAAACAGGAGACAAAAACTGTACAACAACCAGCCGGACTCCTGCTCCTCACTGCCCCCCTCTCTACTGCCCCCCTCTCTACTGCCCCCTCTGTCGGTTTTACAGGTTGATCTGCTGCTTCTCTCCCTGTGGAGATTTAATACCTTTGGGAAGAAATGTGCATCCGCCTGTCATATTACTTCTGACCAGAGGAGGGCGCCAAAAGCCTAAGAACCGCGACCTGACATCGTTTCCTGCTGTTCCTGTTTCAGACAAGTATTTAATCTGTCGCTTGAAGTATTTTATGTGTTAATTAAGTTAAGTCAAGTAGTACTTTAATTAGCTCTGAAGTTTTTTTGAACATTTCCTCAGTGACGTAGACTGGGAGTACATGAAGTACAGGTTTATAAAAAAGAATACTTAGACTGTAAAAGAAAACCTTTTTAAAAGTATGACTTGGTGGGAGGGCGGTTCATGGTCCTGCCTTACAGCAGGAGGATCAGCAGTCCGAGCCCTGGTGGTGACGGGTGGTATTCCAAAGTTAATCATTCACTCTAAATGACCACAGGTGTGAATGTCGGTGTGAATTTCCAGGGTGTTTCCTCGCCTTCGCCCAGTGACCGCGGTGAACGCCCCCGCTGCACCTGTGACCCTGAGGAGGACTGAGGGGGAGGGGGGGGACTGAGGGGGAGGGGGTGAGTAAATGAAAACATTTGTTTCATTTTCTTGAATCTAATAAATCTATGAACCAGCGATGATGAACGTGACCGTGACGTCGACCGTGTTCTCGGAGCTCCTGGAGTCTGGAGGGAAGCCATCGACCGGCGGTGTGACTGTGGTCGGTCAGTGTCGGTCAGTGTCGGTCAGTGTGGATGTGCTCCCTCGTTTATTTCTTATTCAGGGGAAGGTTCTAATTAACAGCAGATGAGCAGACGTGTGCGGCCTTTACCCATCATTCCTGTCGAGTCCTCTCCTCATTTGACTCCTGTGCTGTCTTCTTCTCCCTCCTCCTTCCTCATCACCCCCCCCCCCCCCCCCCCTGGGTGCCACAGTAGGTAGATGATTAGGTAGGATGCTGAAGTGTGTGGGTGTGACAGCTTTCAGACTCCCACCTTCCAGTTGAGTCACGGCCGGCAGCGGTGACCATGTGATCCTGTCACCACGGTGACTCCAGGAGATCTGTGCTGCTGCGTTGTCACGTCGACAGATAATGATGTTCTACAGAACGGAGCCTGATATTTGTATCCTCTCCAAAACGAACTCTCTGATTGATTTAAATTACCACAGTACAGTAACAACAAGTACATGTACTCTGTGTACTGAGGAAAATTACTGCACGTTGGTCTCATTTCAAGGTCAGAATATTGGTTCAATCAGATGTTCCATGATGATGGATGGATGGATGGATGGATGGATGGATGGGTGGATGGATGGGTGGATGTCCTCAGAGTTGCTGGCGTCTCCTGAGACACCACATGAGCTAACAAGAGTTCCTGGTCCCTGTTCTTCATCGCCCTCTGCTGGTGTCTGACTTTGGTTAAAGAGTCATTTTTAAGGTGGACTGTTTTAAAAAGGAGGAATTGAATATTCATTTAAAATCCCCTCACAGCCTCAGTACAGAAGTATGAAGAGGTGCATGATGGGAAGTGAAGTGTCGTGACACAGCACAGTGTACGGCAGCCGTACTTTGTCGGTGCAGTTGTTCCGACAGTGGACAAACTGTTCTCTGCGGCACTTTCTCGTTCTATTAGCTCAGCCCTAAATGTTTGATGTCCCGCTGTCACAGACGGTGACTGTAGACCAGACCAGGTCATGACCAGGTGACCAGGTGACCAGGTAACCAGAGAGCAGGAGATCTGCTGAGCTGAGGAGTCGACTGTCAGCCGCAGGAACAGGGTACGAACAGGGCCTCAGTGTGTCCGCCGTGTGAGGAGACAGAACGTCAGCTGTCAGTTAATCCAGGAACACTGCCAGTGTGTGTGTGTGTGTGTGTGTGTGTGTGTGTGTGTGTGTGTGTGGTGCCAGTCGGAGACAGTGTGAGGGGAACGTGTCAGTGGACAGATCCAGTTTCCTTCCTGAGCCGAGGTTTTATTTATTTATTTATCCACATTTGTCTGAGTTACTGTGGCATCAAACCTCCGACATCCTGCTGGGTCCTGCAGGACAGTCCTTCAGTTGGACGAGGAGCAACAACTGCTTAACAAAAACTAAAGAGGAAGATCTGTCAGACTTTAGACCGAGGAGAGACGAGGGTTACTGACCGCCCACACCGGGGCCGGGAGCCACCAGTTTGGAGGTCTGTGAGGAGTGGATGAACAGCTGGTTAGGGTGATAAAGCCCTACATAGAGGAGGTGACCAGTGGTCCTGACTTAGAGCAGTGGTTCTCAAAGTGAAGACCCCCCCCCCCCATGGAGGGACATGGAGTTAAAACAATGTTGTGGGGTGGGGGGGGGGGTTACTCATTCAGGCTGAATTAGTGGGGATTAACCCCCCCCCCATGAAATATTAAAAATAAAAATGTGTGTACACAGTACTGCAGTAAAGAGTACGCAGAGGAGAGGAAGTCATTTACTGAAACATCAGCCGTCCAATCACAGTGCTGCACCACGGCCCACAGAGGGCAGAAGTGAATCGTTCCACTGTGCAGCAGCAGCAGCCCCCACACCGTGAGGCGGCCCCCACTGTGCTGCACCTCCACAAAGGAACCTACAAAACAACAGCACAAAAACACGCAAATGTACGAGGAGCGGAGCAGCAGCGAGGAGGAGGAGCAGCGAGGAGGAGGAGCAGAGGATGACGACCAATATGACACACAGCTACAGCCCCCACGGTGGGGCCTGGGGGGGGCTGTCTGGGGGGGGCAGAACTCATCAAACTGAGCAAGTGTAACACATGCTCTGTGTCACTCCTCCCCTGCACCGACATGTACTGTATGACACAGAGCGGCGCCTCCTACAGGCCTGCTGTCTGGGTGCCCAGCTTAG